TCCATTTAATAACTTTTCATTTTTAGAAAAAAAAAAGTTTTTTTTTCTATGTAAATGTAATCTAAATAGTATAGGTATTTTCGATTTTTTAGAAAATAAAAAGGCATAAACAAATATTTAAATGCTATGAGTCGGCATTTTTACAACTACACACAGAGTGGAACTTTATTCAACAACAGTAAACATATTTATGTGTATAATGGATGTATTATATTAATATTTTTTCCAATGTGGCTGGTAAATTGAATAGCGAAAACAGAAGCAATTCAGAGCATAGCATATGTAGGTGATGCTCCACCGGGGAGCAATATATAAGTTATGTATGTGATGCCTTTTCCGGCCGTTTCTGAAGTGTCTCACCCAATTGTACCGCGCCCAAATCTTTAACTTTTATGTAGAGTGTGGGTGGGTGGGTGGTTGCTTGGTGTTTCACATTTAATCCTTGCTCTGCATGTACTTGATCAGATCGATGACGCGGTTGGAGTATCCAAACTCGTTGTCGTACCAAGAGATCAGCTTCACGAACTTGTCGTTCAGCGAAATGCCAGCCTTGGCATCGAAGACCGACGAGTGGGTGTCGCTGAGGAAATCGGTGGACACGACCTCCTCATCGGTGTATCCCAAAATTCCCTTCAGGGGTCCGTTGGCGGCCTCCTGAACCTTGGCCTTAATTTCATCATAGGATGCACCCTTGCCCAAGCGCACGGTCAGATCGACCACGGAAACGTTGGGAGTGGGCACACGGAATGCCATTCCGGTGAGCTTACCGTTGAGGGCGGGAATAACCTTGCCCACGGCCTTGGCAGCTCCGGTCGAAGCTGGAATGATGTTCTGGGCAGCGCCACGTCCATCACGCCACAACTTGCCGGACGGTCCATCGACGGTCTTCTGGGTAGCGGTGGTGGCATGAACGGTGGTCATCAGACCCTCGACGATTTCGAAGTTATCGTTGATCACCTTGGCCAAAGGAGCCAGGCAGTTGGTGGTGCACGATGCGTTGGAAACCACCTTCATGTCCGGATTGTAGGCATCCAAGTTGACGCCGCAGACGAACATGGGAGCATCAGCGGATGGGGCCGAGATGATCACCTTCTTGGCACCGCCCTTCAAGTGAGTGGATGCCTTGTCGATGGTGGTGAACACGCCAGTGGACTCCACGATATATTCGGCACCAGCGCTGGCCCAGTTGATGTTGGTCGGGTCGCGTTCGCTGAAGACGGTGATCTTCTGGCCGTTAACCACCAGGAAACCGCCCTCGGCGGCAACGGTGCCCTTAAAACGTCCGTGGGTCGAATCGAACTTGAACAGGTAGACCATGTAGTTCACATCGATGAAGGGATCGTTGACGGCCACAACGTTTGCACCCTTATCGATGGCGGCGCGCAGAACCAAGCGGCCGATGCGACCAAATCCATTGATACCAATCTTCGACATGGTTAACTCTTTGTTTATCTGAAAAGTAATGTATATGTAAAGCAGTTAATACTTTGAAAGTTTTTTCGCGGAATAGAGAGAACCACTACCTATCGGCTTGCTTGCAAGGAATCGACTGTGATGGTTGAGAAATTTTGAGCGCTTTCTATGGGCGAGAACTCGGGCGAGAAATTTTTCAAAGTCAGTTGAAGGACGTGCATGTCAAACTCGAGAGCAGCTAGCGCAATAAAAAGAGCTTTCGCGCTCAGTAACATGAAAGCTTTATGTTACCCAATAGACTTTTTGCAAGCAATATTATATGAAAATGAATGTTTTTATAAATAACATAAATTACTTTTTAAAAACTTGCGATCTTAGACATTTAATGTGAGCCAAAAAGTATATCGTTATTTTGAATGTATAGAGAATAGTGTTTGTTGGGCAATGTTTTATGGTCATTTCACCTGCTCAATTTTGTTGACGGAAGTTGAGCTTTTTTATGAGCTTGAGAGAGCGTGCGAATTTAAAATATATTCACTCCAAGTTTAGTTGCCGGTAATTACATACCTACACACATAGGCAAACAAATACATACAAGAGCACGTCTTGATGAACATCAATTGGTCATATTGTACATAAATATATATGACATAAATGCAAATGGAAAAATCCTTATATGTACATCCCAACATAAATACGTATTCATCAATTTAAATATATGTACATATTCCAATTTAGGGGTCATGTTCTCAGCAGATTAAAGTTTTGCCGATACGGGACATTAATCTGTACACATACATACATACATATAGACATATGTATATAGTATGTTATATTCATAGCTATAATATTATATCAACTAATGGCCCATGCCATTAATTTATCCAGTTTAGTTATCCAATTTAAGCAATTGAGCTTTTGTTATAATGAAAAAACACCTGACAGCAGAACTGTGTATTTAAATTTCATGAATTTTGAATGCAAATGGTAATACATGGTCTTAGTCATGTACGCATAATATGGAAATTCTATAACTTTATGGTGAAATCTAAGTGAATGTGACCTTTTGAATCACAAATAATTTATTAGTGTTTTCTATTTCAGATATCAGCAGCTTAATCAAAAAAAAAAATACATTTATACATATGTATATGTATGTATGTTCTTATAATCAGCAGATCCAGTTTATATAAATATTAAAATATATGTACACGAAGCATACATAATCAAAACCAATTAATTTGTGAGAATTTTTTTCATTCAATTAATTCTGGTAAAAAAAAATATCTACAATTCTCCTTCCCCCAACTAAGCAATCGATATTCCAATCATTCATGCATTCTTATTATTCGCTTGGTTTCATTTTACTTTCCATCATACCAAAACAAAGCACAGCTGTTTGCTTAGCGATAACAGGACGTCTATTGGTATCGAAAAATGAATGTACAATGAAAGTATATCGATTTGTTTTCAATGCAACTAAATTATCGATGCAACAGTAAAATATTCAAATAAATGCGCCAACCTTAAATTCTTAAAATATGCCTTCCCTTATCTATTTTTCAAGTTTTAAAATAGTTTCCACCATGAGTACTAAATACTTATTTGTGTCACGCTTATTGACAAATATTTGTCTTGCGCAAAAAAGTGCGATCCTTTTCAGTGAGTCATCGGTTTCATTGATAAGCAACCAGTTCATTTGTTTTTATTCATTGCATGTTTATATTGTTGAAACGTCAAATGTATTTCAGATTGGTGTAAATTATTGCAGCACTTTTCTTTTATTCAGCCAAAAACAGCTTAAATCTTATATCAAAGAACCATGAAATCTTACCTCGAGATTTATACATTGCCAAAAGCATCCATCCGATTAGCAGAGCATCCCTAAAAGTAATTAAAATATGTGCAGCTCTTGTGGCAGTCTTACTACCCTACAAGTTTGTGGGGTTATTGGTTTTTATGCCAACATCCAACGATGACTTCTTAACCTAGAAACCCCATTACAGATGGAAGCTTCTTGACGTCACAAGCTGAAGTAGGCTTTCCACATATGTACATATGTATATATGTATGTATATTTATCTAAAACAGAAGGACAGGTTTCCGCCTTCCTATGCGTACTATTACTATAATAGTGTTTACCTAGCATCTCAGAAGATACATCTCGAGCATCTGGTCTAAATTATCACAATTGTGACTGCGAATATATAGATTGATAGGTTAGAAATTAACTAAAAGGAATACGGGTTGTGTGTATTTCAAGTTTCTTTTAATATATCAAGCTTTCATATGAAAAGATATTATATTAGTACCACATTGGGCAATAATTTCATTATGGATCCCCGCACTGCAAACTTTTTGCGACTACAATGTGGCAGGTCAAAGTTGATAGAAAATGAGCGGGTGGTTTGATTGAAAAAAAATTTAATTTGATTGCATATAAATGTATGACTATTAGCATGCCAGTTTTATTAACCCGTTAATCCTGACAGACCAAACTCTTAATTAATGTTTTCGGCATGTACATATGTGCACACGTACATTAAATGATATATGTATGTAGCATTTGCTTAACACAATTTTCTTTATTATTTATTCTAGATATAACGCTGAGTTGACGGCTATGACACAAATTATAAATTAATGTTAGTAATCTTCAGTTTTCATTTAAATATGTATGTTTGTATGTATGTTTATTACATGACCATGTTTTATTTAAATATTCAATTTGTTTTGTTGACAGCATTTCCGTTTCCATTTTTGTTTTGTTCTCAATTATTGTTAATAACTAATTACAAATAAATCATTTTATTGAATTTGTCGATTTAGGTCGGCAAATAAAACAGTAATTAAATTACAATACATATATGCGCATATATATGATCGCGTGGCATATATACTCGTATATATAAACATAACGTATACGTAATTAAATTTACACGGAAACACACATACATAGAGAAGGGTTCTGATATTAACATACTTGAGGGATGCGCGTTCTAATAACAAAGTACTCTTAAAAAAATGATTAAAAAAGAAATAACACGTTACTTTGTTCCGTTTGGGCTGTGATAGAAAAATAGTTTAATTAAACTTACTGCTGGAGTACAAAATTCCTGACAATTCGTAAAGTGCGTTCGTAATTATGTATTATGTATTATTAACCTTAGATGGACTTACTTTGGCGCATTTTTAATATTCGCAAAATACAGCAGATCAACGTTAATTACTCCTTGTTTAAGTTAAACAATAGGATTATCGTATTTGTATTATATTTTATTATTTAAATGTTACAAAGGTTTCTTCTCATAATTTATTCATAGTTTTGAAACAGCATTAGTTTTGAAATGGCCGTCCAGAATGTCCAGAATGTACTAAAATTAAGTAAGTCCATCTATGGCGAAAAAGCAGAGCCCAAATAACTGCAGCTGTTGTAAGCTTACCAATAGTTACACATATACATAGGAATATTCGGTTCAATATTATCAAGCATCGAAAGTCGGTAGAAATACACAATTCTGTCCATTTGAAATGTTGATTTCGATTTTTGATTCGACTGGGTTCTGGATTCTGGATTTGGGTTTCGGTTTAGGTTTTGTTTTTGGTTTAGGTTTAGGCTAATTCTCGTTGCTTGAAAAACTATTCATTTTAAATCACAATTTACCATTTACCTATCGGACCAAGATACTATATCGTTAAAGAATACTTCAAGAAGGTCAATAAACCAATCAGTTTATTACAATTTTCAATGAATTTTGGTATTGCTAGGATTTCAGATCTTTGATTTCAGAATGCTGGAATCGGTATCGGTATTGGTATTGGTATCGGTATACGCGAATTTCCTATTACCACTTAAAATTAATTAAAAAGAACATAATAAAAATAGATAAGAACTTGATGATTCAGTATATTCGTAAGACAGCAAGACAATATCAGTATTTTCACAATATATGTAAGCTTTAGTTTTTTGTTTGCATTCTACAATCGCTTCGCTTCGTTTCGTTTCGTTTGTTGCATTTTCAAACCTCATACAAGCCATATACATATGTATGTAAAACCTCATAATTCGGGAATTCAGGAGAATAAAATGAACAAAATTCAACAGTATGCAATTAGAGTAGTGAATGTGAGGTGAATGCTCAAATTATTTCCATGATGCTTTAATGCCCTTACTGCCGCAATTCTATGAATGTATTTGTTAAGATTTTGTTAAACATTTATAAATGTATTATAAGATTTAAAGGTGTTTTTCAATTTATTGTTATAGCTTATATGGCCATCATATTATATATAAATAGTTTTCCACTTTTTCACTAATGCATAGTTTACATATATGTTATTTAAATCATTCTTATTTTTGTTTGTATATAAATTAGGGACTTAAACATAATAAGACAAAAATTTGTTATAGTGTTTTCTTTACTTTTTTTTTTGTTTTGTTTTCATTACTTGATTTATAAAGTTTATTACGCAATTTTTGTTTTTGTTTCTTGTTTGGTTTCCTTTTTCTTTTTTGTTTTACGTTTAGGTTTGCCGTGATTCTTTTTATTTTTTAAATGCTTTAACTTTATTTGACTTCTTCTCCATCCCTCCTTGCATCAGGACCATCCACACATTCTGAAGTTTTATGTATTATACGCAAAAGAATATGTATTTACTTGTTGACATACATGATTACAATGATACCATCTTCTTTTTCTTTTACAAAGTGCAAACGACTGACTGACTGACCAGCACCACTCCTGTCGCTCCTGGTACTCGGATTCGGATTCCGATTCGGGATTAGGACCACAACCAGAACCAGGACCAGGACTAGGATCGGCTGCCAGTTTTGTGCTCTCAGTTGCACGCACTCACCGCTGAAATGCGATTTGAACTAAGTTTAATTTACGTACGTTTTAAACTGTAGCTGTAACCGGAATTCTGACTAAACAACTGACTATCAGCGGGCCCATCGTTTCTTCATCAATTTCTTTATCTTTTGGTTTTTTCTTGATCTTGTTCTTGGTTTTTGTTTTTTCTCAATTTTCCATTTACACTAATAATATTCTTGTATGCGTGTGTATGTCTATTTGTATGTTGCTGCGTATGTCTGCGGTTTTTTTTTTGTTTTTTTTTTTGGTTTTATTTTGTTTTTTTGTATAATTTTAGTTAATAAGTATATAGCAATATAAATAATGTTGTATATAAAGTTCTTTGTTGTTGTGGTCTACGTTCTAGTCAACTAGCTGCGCCCACATATTCAAAACGTCCGGCACTCATTTAATATTAACCACAGAGGTAACACCGAATCATATACATTAGATCACAATGTAGATGATGGGTGAAACACTATCCGCAGACTGCGCAACCGTTGACCTGACCCCACCCCACCCTTTAATGCATTTTGAAGTTCTTTTACTTTTTCCTCTTTTTTTTGTTGTTCTTTGTTTGTTTGGTTTTCTCTGTTTTTTGTTTTCTTTTCTTTTGTTTCTGTTTTGTTTTGTTTTTAGTTCCATACGCGCAAGAAGGAGTCCCACGATCCTGTTGCCACCGCCATGCCGTTCTCGGTGACACCCAAACAGGATACACGGTTGTCGTGGCCGGCGAGTATGCCGGATCGTTCTGCCTTCATCGTGTCCCATACATTGCAGTTGAAATCGTCGTAGCCCGCTAATAACAGACGTCCGCTCTTCGAGAATGCCACCGATGTGATGCCGCATATGATGTTGTCGTGCGAGTACATGGCCAACTCCTGATCGGCACGGATGTCGAACAATCGACAGGTAGCGTCGTCCGAACCGGTGGCGAATGCCTGGCCATTGGGGAAAAATGTGACCGCATTGATATCGGATTCGTGGCCGGGGAAGGTTTGTTTACAGACACCCTCCCGGATGTCCCATAGCTTGGCGGACGCATCGCAGGCGCCGGAGACGAACGTTTTGCATTGGGGCGCCAGTGAGAGGGCCATAACATCGCCGGTGTGACCCAGAAATGAGGTTACCTGCAGGCCCGTCTCGATGTCCCACAATCCGCACGACATATCACCGGAGCTGGTCACGATCTGATTGTCGTCCAGGAAGCGGCAGCACGATAGATAGCCACCATGGCCGGGCAGTTCACGGGACACCCGGACATTGCCCTCGCGCGTCTTTAGGTTGTAAATTGAACACATGTTGTCGAGGCCACCGCAGGCCACATAGCTACCGGATGGGGCGTACGCACATGTCATCACCCACGAGGATCGCAGTGGAATGGCGTGGACTTTGTTCGTGGTATGCGAGTCCCAAACGATCAGTTTGCCGTCCTGTGAGGCTGATACGAGATTCCTTGAATCGTTGCCCCAATGCATGGCGTAGATTTTCGCCAAATGGCCGCGTAATGTACGACGTGTGCGCATCTGTATGCGGCCGATGGGTTCCAGCGAGGTGGCCGCTTGCAACAGTGATGTGTCGCACGCCGCCTTACGGGCATCCCGAATGGCGTTTTTTAGGGACTCGGCTTCCTGCCTGAGACTGTCTAATTCATTCATCTTGTGATCGTTGAAGACAGCGGCGTCCTTATGGGATGATTTGGTTGAGGATTCGGTTTCGAATTCGGATGCGGAATTCGGCTAGCCGGCTTTCTAGATAGATCCTTCTTTGTGCGGTCGTCGGTCGGATCTGTTCGCTCTCGTTAGATGGTGCTATACATATGGGGGGGAAGTAAATGGAGGCGTTCATAAACCTAGTTATATGGTGAGTCAATTGTGTGTGTACTTACGCTTACTTTTTTTAAGCTGGCCAGTAGCTTAGTCGGATAAAAAGCTTTGGATGATCACGCTTGCATACGGCGTTTATTTTGTGCACTCTAGTATGGATAAATCATGAACTTGGTTCTGCAAGAGTTGGTTTTTTTGCTTTTTAGTTGGTTTATTTTTTTATCGAATAATACTATTCACGCATTATATTCTCGGTACGGTGTGCATTTAATTCTGACTTTAGTTCATAGTTGTCGTCCTGTTTGCTCTGCCAATTGAACTATTTGCTTTTTCTATTAGTTTTTTTTTTACTTAACTTTTTGTTTGGTATGTGCGGTTGGTGAATTTCAGATCCCTGTAGAGTTTTTGGTTTGTTAAATATATACTACGTTAGTTGGGGAGGGGAGAGGTTCCTAGTTTTTTTTCGCTTTTCCGTCCCGTCTGATTTGTAATTAGGATGTTGGGCGTTTTGTTTAATACAGAAGAAAGTTATCTCGCGGATGGGATGGTATACTAAAAAAAAATGAATTGAATGCATAAAAACCGATCTGGGCGGAGGGCAAGTGGAAAATAGAAATTTTTCGCCGTGATTTATGCTTTTTATGTGCTGGATTTCGGATTCCGTTCTTCCGATAGATGGGTAGGATATATGGGATATATTCCTTTTGCTTTTTTTGTACACCAAAATTGCAATTTTTGCACCACCACCGCGGCGCAAGTGGCCCTTTGGATTGGAGCAAGGAGCACGACTAGTGGATGCGAGCCGTGCGCAATTGAAAGCGCGGCAGCGAAAGCAGGTCAGAAGTTCCCGAAAGCGGGCGGTGAGACAAAAACAGTCGCGGCAATCGGTTGTCCCATTCGCACGCGCAGCAACCGCGTAAGCGTACACATGACAAAGAGCAGGAGGCAAATAGATAAAAAAAAAAAATAATCAATTTTAAACGTTGAACATTTTTCGTTGGGAAGGCACAGGCACAGGCACAAAATATATAGAGCTCATTTCATTTGATTTTCCATGCCGAATGGCAATCGTGTAGAAAAAAAAAACAAACCAAATCTGGGAAATAGTCATATATGTAGGCGGAAAACTATCAAGACTGCATTTTCATCACTCGTCGTTCAGCGAGTATGAAAAATTTTTTTTTCTTTTAGCACATACACACACATTACCATAGATCAGTAATTTTTCTTTCAATTTTCATTCACTGGACAGTTTGTTGCTGACGACAAAACGTTACTTACACGCAGTGTTAACTTTTTATACGCAAAACAAATTCCCGTCTTCAACTACACAAATAACTGAAAATTTTGTTAACGAAGCCACCAATCTGTAACTTTTCATTTGCACTCTACAATTGGCAGCCAACACCTAGAAACAAATTAAGGGTGCAAGGAAGCAGTATCGATGTATGCGGTTATCGATAGCATGGATACATATTTTCGAGCCAGGCTGTTCACACTGCGGGCGGAGAGAGCTGGTTAATGGAACGATCTTTATTTATTTATTCTGAATTTAACAAACGCTATTTTATTTAATTTGAATTAAAGAAAGTTGTGCCTTTTCCATTTGGACAAAATAAATGTTTAAACATACTCTTATCATGAAACAGAAATTTTTACAAACTCTTTTTATTTACAAACTACTACTGTTTTATTCTTGTAACACCATAGTAATAATTTTAATTCATAAGAAAATATAAAAAATAAACAAATCTTAACCCTGTGCAGTATAATGTTCCCACCTGATTATTTTCCTGTGCAACCCTTAGTACTTGTCATTCACTGAAGGAATGTAAACGATTACCGAGAAAACGTAAACAATGAAAAGATCGGTCTGAAAACAACAAAAATATTTAAAAATATGTATAAAATGATTCGATTACAAAATTAAGTTCATATATCGATATCTATATCATCGATAAGTGTGAAAAATGTAATCACAAATGAATCACCGGATGGAAAAAGGCTTTCAACTTTTTCTATGAAAATTACTTTTAAGATTGCTTGGAAATGTCTTATATGATATAAATAATATAATGATATACGCGCTCATTTTTAATTTAATTGTGTTTCCACCCCATGTTTGAGTTCTTAACGTGTTCAAAAGCATTTTGGATTTCTCCAAACGCAGTCACACTATTGTTATCGCTAATATTAACTTATTGTTTATATTGTAAATATTGTATATGAAACATGTTCAAGTTAGTTTTTAAGCAGTTTAAGTCCAAAAGTACTAGTCCCGATTTAACGGAAGTAGTTAGGATCGATGACAGTGTAGTCAAGGGGATTGATCAACAACATAGTGATAATGTAAGTACTCGATGAGACCTGTTGCAGTTGAATTATAATTTCTACATTTACATTAGAATATTGTTCAACGAATATTGTTCAGCAATGTAGAAAGCTTACAGACAATGCCAGGCATAAAATCGCCAAAAGATTGGCGATCTTATACATTAACTAATCATCCCGGCATTATTGTTATTCGGAACCCATTCTCGGAACGAGGACGACGTTATTGGATAGCCCGATGTCTGCGGGATTATCCGCGTACACCAAATATAGTCAATTTGAATGAAAGACTCTTCGATGAATCCATCAGATCAGACTGGTGGAAACAGCTTAGTCTGTGTAGCGATGCCAATGAGTTCCAACGGATTAAATCTGCGATGCGTTGGACGACATTTGGATATCATCACAATTGGGATACAAAGATCTATGACGAGGAGATGCAGTCACCGTTTCCCGAAGATTTTAACAGTCTATGCAGATTGTTTGCGCAAGCGTTAGGATACAGTGACTTTAAGCCTGAAGCTGCAATTGTAAATTACTATCCACTTGGTAGTACCTTATCGGGTCACACAGATCACTCTGAACCAAACAAATCGGCACCTTTATTTTCATTTAGGTAATGCAGCATATATTAAATATATCCGTGCACCAAATTTATTTTATCTTTCATATTTACAGCTTTGGTCAGACTGCAATATTCCTAATTGGCGGAAGAACCTTAGAAGAAAAGCCAACCGCTATCTACCTTCAATGTGGGGACGTTATGATAATGTCCGGAGAATCGCGTCTATGCTATCACGCAGTTCCCCGTATCATCAAAACTCAGACTTCCGCGACTTTAACACTGATAAATGAAGATGTGGATGATGTAGATATTGGAACGAATTCAATGGATAAAGATTTATTTCATGACGTAGGCAACCCCCAATTTTGGGAGCCTTTTTCGAGTTATATGGATGATTCGCGTGTTAATATCAATGTACGCCAAGTTTTAAATCCAGGAGAGTTAAAGCTATAAAAAGTTTAACATATACAAAAAAAAGTTTTACATTTTTTCGGCAATTAAATTAAAAAATAACCGCATTTTTTATTAAAAACAAAGAAAAATGGTGCCATAGCAAATAAAGTAATGCGTTCACTGAAGATCTCTTAAATTGGTAGGTTACAGTGTATCGATTTTTGAATATTATGTAGTCCCTAAGAATGGTTTTGATGACTGCGTTTAGCAATTATAACAATATAGATTCATCCGATAATCGAGAAAGTCTCCTTTTTAATAATACTTCCAAAAGCTAAAAATCGATACCATCCAACCTATCGTACGTATCGCACACGAGATCGAGCTCTAGTGGAAACGTGCCGATTTGTTACATGATATTTCTCAATAGTTTTTAATCGTTTTGAAAGGCGAACGCTAACGCTCGTATAACGGTCACACTAAATACTACATTTTAAAATAATAAACGATACGACGCCGTGAAATTCCAGTGTAAAGATGTGAATAATTAGAAATAAAACACTTAAGTTCATACCTACAGCTAAGCAGTTGGTATTTGAAATAACGGTTGCGTGACTTTAGAGCAAAACAAATGTGTGGTCTTATTTTTACCCAGTTTTCACCAGTGCTAAATATAGAGCATAAAAATGTTTGGCATAAATGCAATATCGTGAAATTAGCATCTGCTTGTTAGTACCCCTGCCTGAATGAGTATGTCCACAAATATCTGTAACCTAGAAGTAATAAAGAACGCTAATCCCATACAAAATCGGCACGAGGACCAACAATCAAAACAATTTGATTTCGATCGTACCGAGAGCGATGCGACGCACCCAATATTACGCAGCGATCATCGACATCAGGGTGAACTGGTCGAATGTCTGACGTGCAGCCTCCAATTCAAGAGTTTCTCCTACAGCGACATTTGCACTCACTACATATTCACTCATCCGCATAATTCGGATAATTTAAGACATCATCTGCCTAAGTGCTTGTACTGCAAACGCGACGTTCATCATTTCCAGCGCGCAAACAAAACCCAGCCGGAGATCTATCACTTTTGTTCACCCCGCAAACAAAGTTAAAGGTACACCAATATACATATATACATAGAGCGCCATATATACCTATAAAGTAGAGCCTTAAAATGGCGGGTGCGAGCAGTGAAAACGGCGAGGAGTTCTTGAATTACGACGGCAATTCGGATTCGGAGGAGTCCGAGTACTCGGAGAACGAAAATACCCAAGATGGCGACAAGGAATCGCAATCGAATAGCAATGCCGATTCGGGCTATCCACTGGAGTCCTCGCTGCAGGACTCCAAGTTGGGACAAAAGGGACAGAACAAGAGCGGCGGCAGTAGGATCAGCATAGGTGCAGTGCATCCGAACTATGGATTCGGCAAACGCTGGTCCAAGTCCGAGGATGTGCGGCTCAAGCAGCTGGTGGAAACGTACGGTGAGGACTGGGAGATCATCGGACCGCACTTCAAGGATCGCATGGAACAACAGGTGCAACAGCGTTGGGCCAAGGTCCTCAATCCGGAGCTCATCAAGGGTCCGTGGACGCGGGACGAGGATGACAAGGTCATCGATCTGGTGCGCAAATTTGGACCCAAGAAATGGACCCTAATTGCACGATATCTGAACGGACGAATTGGGAAACAGTGCCGCGAAAGATGGCACAACCACCTAAATCCGAACATCAAAAAAACGGCCTGGACCGAGGAGGAGGACAAGATCATCTACCAGGCGCACATTGAGCTGGGCAACCAGTGGGCAAAGATTGCCAAACGTCTGCCCGGACGCACCGATAACGCTATCAAAAACCATTGGAACTCAACAATGCGTCGCAAATATGATGCCGAACGCAGGTCTGTTAATGCATCTGGTAGCGATTTGAAGAGTTCGCGAACCCATCTTATCACGCTGATCAAATCCGGTGGCATCAGCAAGTGTCAGAATAATATGCAGCATAACAAGTCAGTTTCTGGTGATGCAGCTGATGGTAAGACAGCAAATAAATCTGAGAACGGCGATGGCGCTTTGGGCAATGTCGTCAAAGGTGAGCTAGCACAAGACTCACAAGAGGACTATCAAATGGGGTCCACGTTGGCCCACCTCAGTATGCAGAATCACATTAAGATGTCCCTGCCGCGCCAAACACCGAACATATTGAAGCGGACGCGCAAACACATTCCCGAAACTCACCTTCAGGCTGGTCCATCAAATGGGGTTTTCAACCAGGAAGAAGCCGCCGCAAACGCCAAGTCGCAACCACCGAGTTCGCCCGTCATAACGCCCATTAAGTCCCTACCCTTTTCACCGAGTCACTTCCTCAAGTCGCCATGTCTGACCACCTTTGAAGATATGAATCTGCGGGCTAGCACGCCGGTGACCAAGGTCTTTAATCGCGTTGGCATGGAGATCAAGAAGCAAATGGAGACTTCATCCATAGAAACTCCACACAAGAGTAAGTACAACGCATATCGGCTTTAAAAGTATTTTGAATACATATTCATGGTTATCTATAGGTCAACTTGGGCCACGAACACCAACGCCCTTCAAAAAGGCACTTGCTGCCATCGGCAAAAAGAGAGACGGACGTCGATACGAGCCCTCCAGCCCGTCCAGTCTGGTGGAGGATCTGGCCGAAATCATCCATGAAGAGCATCTGAGCAACTCGCTAACCGCAAACAATTCCAAAATGATAGGCGCTGGCGATCAGAACTTCGCGGTATGCACCGCTGAAAACAATGCTCAGTCGCCGCAAATAAAACGTGCCAGGAAGTCATTACTCTCAACTTGGAGTTCCAATCATCCATCCAACGGTGGGTCCGCCAAAAAGATTCAACCCTTCGAGACCGAGACGCCCAGCAAGTTTCTCACATCGCCTGGCAACATTCTGAAGGATACTCTGTGCAGTGAACAGGATCTCCCGTTCGACGAGGACAGAAAAGAGAATCGACCATTCCATAATCGCAGAAGCTACAAGTATCGCGGCGGCTTGTCCTGTGATCATGTCATTGATCCCAAGTGGGCACGAGTGGCTTGTGGCAAGACCAAAGATCAAATATTTATGGAGGAGCAGGCCTATGCATGCCTCAAAAATCTTTCCTGTATTCCGCGCTCCCTTAACTTCGAGAAACAAAAATGTTTTATGAATTCATTCGACCGCTTTGGTTCGCTATAATTTCATGTTGCTATATTGAAGTATTACAAACAAAATTCTATGAGCATCATCTTTATAAAATTGTAGATATTGATCCCTAAAATTGCACATAAATTCGATTGCGTATTCGAAATAAGATTTATAGTACTACATTAATTGGCATTATTTTTGATTTATCCACCTTGAATTGTATCTAAATTTTGTAATAAATAAATATGCTTAACGTAATAAAACGTGTTTTAGCAATAGTAAATTACTTTAGTTGGTTCATTGGCTTTGTAGCGTACAGAAGAGTGACATATTCATTTAAAAAGAAGCCTATTATAATCGAATAACGAAATATTAAATATTTATATATATTGAAGATCAAAGTTAGTTCTGTAGAACATTATAACAAACATCGTTCGATTTCTAACTTTGTACGTCTTCAGTATTTCTGTTAAATATGTCCAGATATTTTGGCACTAGTTCGTTCGCCGAAAAACGATCGAAGTTAAAAATCTCAAAGAATTGGTCGCGTTGCTTGCGAAAGACCCTCGGAATTTTACAGAAGTTATAGAGCTTTTTTGTTAGGGCATTGGCGGTATTGTAGAGGTTTTCCTTTGGGTAGATTTCCGGATAAACCAATTTATTGGGCGCAATTGGATAGCAGCCACAGAATGTGGCCTCCAGCATGGCTACTCCAAAGAACTCATGGTCGGCAGTTGAAATCACGATGTCACCGGTAAGAAGTGTCTTCAAATACTCCTCACGTTCCAGATGGCCAAAGCTCACCAGCTTGGTTCCCAGTTTCTCCTGTATATGCTCGAATTCCTCCGGTATCTCCTGGTAACTCTCGCCACAAATAGTAACCTTAAAGTCCACTTGGCGCTCGTGGAGCTCGCAGAGCGTGTCCACCAATAGTTTTGGATTCTTATCGTGCTCCCAGCGATGTGGCCAAATAAGATGGATGCACTTCTCTTCCAGATCCTCATAGGTCTCCCCCTTTACGTACTTTCTACGATTGGGAAATCGATCAAAATTAACAGGAAAGTACAGCACTTGGCATTTCTTTTCAATTTTCTCGCGAATATGCTTGATTTTAAAGTCTGGCTGAATATTTAGAAACGGCTGAACATTATCCAAAAACGAGCTGCAATTGAACTGGGAATTGAAGAGCACTATGTCTGCGGCAAGACTGAAATGGATACGTTATAGATATAACTAAATATTTAAGGGGCTGATCGCCTACCAGGTTAGAATCTCATTGAAACCGTATTGACAATCGCGTTGCTTCACCTCCCGCACCGGATAGATCAGCTGGTTTTCGTGGAAGTAGACTATTTTCCGGCACGCGGCTAGATCCGGACGGAGGCCAATCAGCTCGGCCAGGCTGAGCACGGAGCTGGTGAAGAGCATCCGGTATTCGTGATCGCTGGGAATCAGCTGGGAGAAGTGGAGGGCAGAGGTGCGTGCTCGCCAGTGCCATTTCTTGGCGGTAAGGCTAAATATCTCGTAATCGCCGTGGCTGAGACCTGAGAACTAGCTAACTTAGAGTGCAGCTTAGGTGGCTACTTGTGATATATACCCTCGATCAGTGCGCTAATCAGCTGTTTGTGACTGCCCCCGTAAAACGGCTCAATAATCAAAATATGCGGCTTTACGCACGACATTTTTGGATTTGGTGTGCTGGGAAATAGTGTGACCGATCATTTTGACTGATCCTTTCCGACCAAATTACTTGGTATGTTGTGGCTTTTATATTGCTTTAAGTAATGCAAAATTGTGGCTCTAAAAAGCTATTATATTGCAAATAAAAATTTGTTTATATTATTAAATGAGTTTGTTTCTGAATTGATCACTAAGGTATACATAAAAAGAACATCGATTAGTTACGTCAAATTATCCGACTTAGTTTTAAATAAACGTTATCAGCTGTTTGGATGCTCAGTCTGTGCAACGCGAAAATATACTGACAAGTGGAGAACGCCTCAAATTGCCTGTTTTCGCCACTCGCACCCTGGTCACACTGATTTTATAAATGCAAAAATTGAGTATGTATAAGTATTTACCATCGTGTCGTTATAGGAAAATTACAAATTGTGTCATCTCGGCCCGAGATAAATGCTAAAAAGCAAAACAAAGTGAATCATAGGTATATTGTTGATAAAATTATTTCTGCCTGCGGATTATGCCCTCAATCGAAACTGAAAACTCAGCGTACAGAAAAAAAATCAAACGCGAAAGTACTTTTTTTTTATCCAATACCAACTACACACGACATACATACATACGTGCATATGCATATGTGTATTTACAAAGGCATTGAAATAAAATTGAGAAAAATTCAATAAGTTTACCATACCATTGATGTAATATCCGTGCTCTCGAGTGTACGCATCCATTATCCTTACTGTTTTTCTTCATTTTAGTGTCTGCAAATCGGGCATAAACACACTCACATATATATGTACATATATTAGTGCGCAGATATATGAGGAAAACATTGAGAAAAAAAAGAAGCAAAACAATTGGATTCATTGGAAAAGCCATTTGAACGCAATCCAATTAAAATTCAAGTGTACTTCAACCGAGCGATGTAGTCGCATTCTATTATGTACGATTGTAGTGGACTAAGGGAATAATCGAAAGTTACATCAAATCCTGTTGGGGATAGGCGAAAAATGCCCAATGCTCCATGGAAATAGCAAAATGGCATTGGCAATTGAATGCACTGATTACATACGACCTGGAAACTTGCCCATTTCGAAATCGGATGGGCAGTTAAGTCAGTGAATTACTTCATTACTGAACCACTTGGAAGCACAAAATACAAATACGAACTGCAACCCTCTCGCCATGTCGGTAACATCTTCGATTGAGAAGCCAACAACAACAGTAACTGCAATTCAGCAACAACAACAACATCAGCAGCAACAACAGAAGCCACAACAACAACAGGATAAAAGCAGCACCATCACAATCGCAGCAGCAGGACAGCAACAAAAGCGAAAATCCCTGAGTTCCAAGCGCTCGTACTCCCTATCGTCGTCGAGTGCCTCCAGTTCTGGTTCCATTGGGGCGATACGGTCCGCGACATCCCCATTGGTCACCACCACCGAGAGGGATAAAGATAAGGAGAAGAGCTCTTCCACGGCCAGAAATAGTCACCATCCACATCACCAGCACCAGCAGCAGCAGCAGCAGCAGCAATCCTTTTTGCCGTTCTCATACTGCACCGATACCATAGCAGCCGTGCACCACCAGCGACAGTCGTACGCTTTGGTCCAAAAGGCGCCCTCCTTGCGTTGCCAGGGAAAGCCCCATCATCAGCTGAGCAACTTCTCGCCCACGATGACCTCGTCGGAACCCTCATCCCCATTGGCCGCCGATGGGTCCGGATCCGGAATCCTCAGCCCATCGGAGGTCGCCAGCCATTGTTGCGCCAATGTCAAGGCCAATATCACCACCCCTTTGGCCTCCACTACACAGAAAATGCACCGAACAATACCATCTGATAAAGTAAGTATTATATTAGGCATTTATTGAGTACACCGGGTGGATATTGAATGCTTGCAGTCAGTTATTTCGACATTTTGTGGTATAAATACCTGAGTGAAACTGCTCACAAAACATAAAGAGAAATAGAAACGACCTTCGATTCCTTTTACGCAACTTTAGCCGAATTTGTACTGGCGTTTTGAAACAGTTCAAGTATTTTTCATTTTAAATCATTTATTTACATAAATATACACAATTCACTTTTTATTATATAAATCAATTATCAGATTATGCCAATATAAATCTGCATCCATTATTTATTATTCATTGCCTCGAGTATATTCTTAGAAACTGCCTTTGGTAGGACTCGTTTTTAATTTTCCGAGCTTTCTTATTATATTTCGTGTAATTTACTTGTAATGCAATACATTTTTTTTTCAGATTAACCTACGCCTCATTCTTGTTAGTGGTAAAACAAAAGAGTTTATTTTTAGTCCTTCAGATTCCGCAGGTGATATTGCACAAACAGTATTTGATAATTGGCCAGAAGGTGAGTGAATTTAGTGTTAAGTATGTTGGCGAATGATTTTCGAATCTCTAACGATTAAGTAAGCTAAGTAATACAAATAAAGTGAAAAAGATTTCTACATCCATTACAAATGGCATAATGTTTACCTTTTCGCATTAATTACAAACACAAAACAATTTGCGAGGAAGTAAATGCCAAAAATGTGCTTAATCCTGTCAAATGTTTTAATATTTCATAGTTTATAAATTTAATTTAATTGCTTAATTGGGTTATCTAATTGTAATACAATATTATGCATATATCTTGCAGATTGGACCCACGAAACTGTGTCGAAAGCTGAAATCTTGCGCTTAATTTATCAAGGTCGTTTTCTTCATTGCAATGTAACCTTAGGAGCACTGGGACTTCCATTAGGCAAAACGACTGTTATGCATTTAGTGCCACGTGATAATTTGCCAGAGCCCAATTCACAAGGTACGTTCAAATAAAAAATCCGATAATATCAAATATTTCACAATGAGCTACATAAGCAGCATCAATTGTGGCCTCGCAAAGAATAAGAAACATCTTACTGAATTTCACTCCTCTTTTAGATCAAAGACAAAATAGTAAAGGCGGTTCTGGACGATGCTGTTCAACAAATTGCTCTATTTTGTAACTAAATTATTATATAATAGCGTAATATTTAAACTAATTTGCATTAAAAGAAGAACACAACCGAAATAAATAATATAAATGTATAAATTACATTTTTGTGCAGTCAAAAGTATATTTATTAAACTATAAAAATGTATGTCTGGAAGAACAAGGCGCTTTGTTTAAAATATTAATGTACATACAATATATATTTTATATATATACCACAGGAATTCACGAGCATATGCAAAATGCGTATACTCTGTATTAAAGTTGCTAGACTGCATATTTATAACATGTAATATACGAATACAATGCTAATTGCTTTTAGAAACCAGACTTGTTAACCTAATTAGAAAATGAGTAATTACAACACTTATTTCAAATATGTCGAAAATATTGAATACTAATTATGTGCAAGAAATAAGTAATTTTCCCTTTGCGTTCTGCTTTTAAGTGTGCGTCTACGAAAACTAAATAAAATCAGCAATTACTTGTCAGATCGATTCTTTAATACGTTAAAGAATATTGAATACATTTTTGTTCTGTATATATACATATTTAATTAGAATTTAAGTGTTTTCTTCTGTTAAGTTTTAAAATATTATCTGTAAAGTCTAACTTAAAGTCAATGATAAATAAATAATCTAATATATCCTTAAGTTTGTCCTATTTTGGGTGCATTGGTGGTTACTTGAATATTTTCTTTGAACTCAAAACGGATGGGAAGCAAAGTCTGGAGAATATTGATTTTGCATTCAGGCATATTTAATTACTATTACTAAGGCTTTATAATCACAATGTTTAAAGTATTGTGCTTATTTTTCTAGGAAAGCTTTCTAATATCCAAAGCAGTTTGAAAAATGTCTGCTAAATTAATCGTATATACATAATTATATAACAAGCTTCGCTCTTTCGAGTAAAACCATTTAGGCATATCTCTCATATAAATTTGAATTTTTTAATTTTAAATTAAAATTAAAATACTTAAAATTTTTTAAGTAAATCAGCTTTTTAAATAGTGCAAAGTTCGTGCCAAATATTATGATTTCGATATTGATAACGATAACAAGTTGTACTAACAGGTGCATGTTAAATAACAGAAGTTATAGTTTCACTTCCATTGCCAGTCGTTGTCGTTATCTTGACACACACTAAAATAGTATTTAAGGTATATGGGTGACAATCGACAATCGGTATATTTCTATATTAAATCTGAAAAACTCGTTGGCCACACTGACCGGATTCTGAAAGGGAATATCTTATATATTTTTGTGTAGCGTGAATATATTTCGAATAAACGAATCACAATGACTGCCTGGAGAGCTGCCGGAATTACGTAAGCATTGTATAAGTGCCTGCCGCACCAGCTGTGTTGCGGCAGCCTTCTGTTGCAACTTAAGCACACATTCCCTGCCGGATTACATAACATAATTAATCCAAATATTCCCGATTGCAGCTACATCCAATACTCCAACATCGCCGCTCGCATTTTGCGCGAGTCCTTGAAGACGGGACTGCGTGCGGATGCCGCCAAGCGCGACGCGAGTCATGTGAAGTTCACTCCCTGGGCAAATGGCAAGCCAGCTCGTACGTATCATACCATTTTGCGCGTCGATTAAGCTGCCAAATAGCAGGCATTATATAAAGTAACTGGTAACTTATGGATAATTCTGAATCCAAGGGGGCGCTATCATTTACGAATTATTCGGAATGTTTCGAAGTCACCCACAAGTGGTTTCCAAACGATGTTTAAAGGTTTCGAAATAGCACCGTTTCGAAATACTAAATAATGAACGGTTCACTAGTGTTCCCACTTTTTCATTCCGAACATGTTGCCTATTTATAGGCGTAATGTCGCGCCTAGAAACTGTTCCCATCATCTTTTTTGAATTCCAAATTTGATCTACTTGCGAAAAACACAGAATATCTTTTCGACCTCTGATCATCAACATTAGAGCACTAATACCCATCCAACTCAAAATAAATAAACTCAAAATTATCTTAACTGCTTAGAATATTTAAAATTAAGCACACTGCTAACTCCTTTAGAACAAACGCTCCATAGATTTCCAGAAGTTCGATTTGTGTTTCATATTGCGTCATATTTGAACATATTTTTCAGATGAAAGGACTTAAGTGTTCTGCCGTCAATTAAATAATTTAAAAACTGGCGTAAGTGCCTGCCGCGGCAGACAAAACCCAATTTATCCCAGCGTTCACATAATACTCAACGAAAGTTTACGTATCTAACTTTGTTTTCAAAGTTTCTAACTACGCTTTCAAGCTGATATGCATGCAAATGCAATGTGTTGATTTATTAATTAATATCCCAACGTTCCCGCCCCAAACGTTTACAAGCGAGCAACTATTAACTATTTCATTGTGATGTAAAACTATTATCCAAAGCCCATGCTGATTATTGTTATTTTTTGTGCCCACAGAGCGTCAAACCCAATCGGAATCCTAGATGCTTTTCAGTGGCCCCTCGAGAATGATTAGCAACAACTAAGATCCGCCAATGCTGCAATGTTGTAAAATCATCAAAAATAATAAAATTAAATAAATGTAATTTATTTAAACAAGGTGGCTTTAAATGTTTTTAAATGTGGCGTTTATTGGGCGTTCCGTTGAGAGATCGCGACTGATGAAAAGGATTTCTAGCAAAGATCAAAGATGCAAATATAGACTCAATCGAATATTATATATCAAAAACTATTGGTCAGGTTTACCAGAAGCCTTTTAATTAGGATCAGTGATAGGTTTCTTACTACAATTTTGTCAACGCATATTTGTATAGAATGATTTTATACACACAATGCTGAACCAATTTAATTGTTACTTATAATTTGCGCTTTACATATACATATAGACAATATTTATGTTAATTATTATCCAGTTAGTTCATATTTTAATTTAAATATATATTTTTAAGGTAGAGTATTTTGGATTATCCTTCAAAAATTATCGATTTGCTACCACTAAGACCGATTAAATTGCTACCGAAGTGCTATTTTAATTGCAGCATTTGTATGTTGATGATGTCGTGTACTGTTTTCTATGTCATCGGGTGCGACCTTTCAATGGTTGGCGTGATTGCATTTCCCATCTTAGATCATAAGTCCTTAAGAATGGCACTCTTTGCGTTTTTCAACTTATCGAGGCGTTTCAACAAATGGTTGTTTGACGTTTCAGCTTCCTCCAACTTCTCCAATAGTTCCCGGTGCTACAAAATAAGAGCAAAGTAAATAGATTATAAATTGGGCATATTGGTTAGCATTCCATAACTTACCTCGCGTTGCAGCTTGCGCCGCTCCAATTTCAGCTCTGCCTCAGCCTTTTCGGCGGCTTCTGCAGTGCTTTTATATCGGATTACTTGAGTTTCTGAGCGGGCTAAGCTCGACTGTAAGTTGGCGATTTCCTGTTCCGCCTTTTGCAGCTTATATTTATGGTCTGAAATGATTTTGTTTGTTTCCCCTGTCGGATAATATAAGAAAAAGGGCTCATAATATAGTACAAATATGTTGCAGCTCTATAGTGCCAAACTGCCATAGTTATATACAATTTATTGTGAAAAAATTTTAGATATATGGAGATACACAAAAGTGCGAGAGAATGTGGCCGATCAATACGATCGGAAATATAAATGATATATATATTGCTTCAAGCTTCAAGTTATCAAATAATAAAAACTACAAAATAATAATTCTGAAAATCGTTCAAGTTTGAGCAAGAATATGTTAGTTGTTGTGCTGCCAAAAGGCTAGTTATAATAGGATAATCACTAGGTGAACTTTACATGCTGAAAGTTTAGTTGGCATTAAGTAATTATGGTACACGTACGTTGGGCCTCGTAATCATTCTCATCGCCGAAGGAACCTTGCGAAAGACTGCGGCGTCCGGAAATTCCATCACTTTTATACTCGTCAAGTTGTTCGTGAAGCTTTTGCACCTCCGCCAGCAGTCGCTGCTTTTCGTCACTGAACTTTTTAAGTCTTACGTCTGCAAAGAACTTGAACTATTGAGAAATGATCTCATCCAGGGGCAAAGGGATAATCACCTAAAGAACCCTGAACGGAGGCCAGCACCTTAGCATTCTCGGCACTCACAAGAGCTCGCTTGGCATCGCTGCCATCAGCATTTTCAACTGCTACGATTAGAAGGCCCTGCTCGGCGATCAACGAGTCGCGCTCGTTTAACTGCCCTTGTACTAGTTTAAGCTCGAGATTGGCGCGATCCAGGTTGCGTTTGAGTGCATTGCAGTCACGCATCTTCTCCTTGAACTCGCGCTGTAGTTGTGCATACGACTCTTCCATTATTTCACATTTGTCCTTCAGCAGCTTGACTTCGTAGGCCTGCGAGGCGCGATCGTTGTCCAACTGGGCGTTCGTTATCATGGCTTTTCGAAACCGCTCCTCAACATCCTGAAAGCAAAACACCATGAATCACATTGAAGTGATAGATTGGATATCAGCGCCCACCTTAAGCTCGTGCTTGAAGTCCCGAAAACTTCTGCCCTCCTCCTCCACGGAGTCCTCACTGCTGCGGCGGGATGCTGATGCACGGGTCACGTTTAACAGTCCGCCGTAGGCGAGGCGCACGGGATGCACCGACAGGGTTTCGCTGCCCACAGCCGTGGAGTTCTGCATGTCGAACACCCGGTCGGCTGTGATCTCCTGCTCCTTCTGCTGCCGCTCCAGCTCCCTCATGCGAATCTCGCGGGCTTCGGCACGCGCCTGTCGACGCGCAGCAAGTCGCGCTTCCGCCTTAAAAGAAGGAACAATTCAATTTCATGGAATTCAAGTAGTTGATATAGTTTCAATTATGGGACCCATTCCGGCTCCTATACTTGTGTGTATTCACCAAGCAAGTATAATGCAATTGATTCTAACCATTTTAATATTGAATTACTTTTTAGTTGTGCTATAATCCCAGGGTTTTATAAACAAACCCATAAAGGCAATGATATGTTTCAGGATGTAAAATACATACCTCTTTTGTAATTTGATCCAGCGCATTGTCTTCGGCATTGATTCGCATGTTGTTCCGTCGCCGACCGGTGGTGCTGATACTTTCCATTGAATCTGTGCTTAATTTAACTATATTTTATATATTAATCGCAAGCGATCGCACGCTAAAAAGAAGCAACTTGTTAATTTAAAGTCTAAAAAAATTCATAAAAATATAGTTCAAATTTTTAAAATTAATCCTATATGTTTGCACCCAATCAAAGTAATATCAAGGATAATTTTAGCGATTAAATCTCAAACAATCAATTGCAAAGGAAAGTCCTGTGCAGCCAGCGCGTACTTATAAACAAATATAGTTTACAGATTCTAGTGAAAGCATTTCTAGTGCTGCTTTTTCAGTATCCAACTCGATGATACTCTCTTTCTTAGTAAACATTTTGGAATGTCCTAATTAATGATCGTGTGTGGTATGATATGGATAACTTATCATCGGAATACACTGTTATCTAGCAGAGCCGACTCACTTATATAAAGACCGGTGTATATATATAGTACCATTGTCACCAAGCACACGAACATGCAGACAAAATGCGTATCAGAGGATGAAAATAAAGTAAACTTTTTTTTGCATTGCTCTGCATAATGGTTTTTTTTTTTTTTTGTAACTTTTACAAATTCCCCATCGACACTTGGCAATTTGGGGACACAGATGCAAGGAAACTAGTTTATCTCCTGTTTATAAATAGGAAGTTTCTGTCCATCAACCCCGGTAAATATGTTTTTATCCACTATTTATATTTGTAAAACAAAAAAACCGTCTGCATTGCAGTTTTAATTTTAATGGGAGCGGCGTTACACACATCTGTTTTTCCTAGTTTTCACATATGTATCTTGCGGGGATAATATGCGCCACACGTCAAACACTTTAGGTTGCGCCCCCCACTAGACATCAAGTATTTACAGAAAGGTGACAAAATCTATAAATTAATTAAACACACATACACATAAAAAGTTTTAAGAGACACCTTTAGCGAAAGAACAATCACAATTAATCATAATAGTGGTGGTCGAAAAATCGATCCATCGATAAAAATCATAAGTGTTAGGTGCACCCGATGCGCTTTTCCCACTGGTCCCAGCCAACATATTTCTTAGCGATGTGTTGTATTGCGCTATAAAAAACCTACCATACATATATTTTCTATACCGACCTTTACATTTTTTAAAGATGATTTTAAGCTGCAGAAAAAATAAATATGTGTGTTGCACACGTTGACTGTGAAATGATGAAATACCCAAATAGGCAGTAGGAAAAACGGCATCCAAGAAGTGACTGTGATGCGTGACATCACCTGCAGTTATCGTCATCGATAGGCGATTTGTGCACACTACTTGCCATCCATGTGGCATCGTTGTGTTGTTGTTATTAATCAGCGAAGCAACAAAAGTCAAAATTTGGAAACATGTCCGAGCTAAATATGGAGCTGAAGAAACTCAGGGAACTGGTAAGCAAATAGCTGATACTTTACTCCAACATTTTGACATGACAATGCCGGCTTTAAAGGAACTGAAGACCCAAGGCCTTGCCGCCAGAATACAAACTGCCGAACATTGTGAGCAGTTGGACGTCGATCTTGTTCAGCTTCAAATTGAAAATAAGAAGCTTAAGAACCGCCTTTTTATCCTGAAGAAGGTAAGTTTATGACCCCAATGTGTTTAAGTATAAGAAATTTAGTTAATTTATTTCCGTGCAGTCTATTGCTGAGGAATCAAATGCCGCCGGCGGCGCCCCGAAGCTCAAGGAATCCTCTTCGATCACCGAGCACCTGGAAAGTGTCTTTGGTCAGGCGATTGCATCAGCTTTTCCGGAATTCAGAGATACGCCTGTTATAATTGCACCAGTTAATAGTACGTCTGCGAAATTCGGCGACTATCAGTGCAACAATGCCATGGGATTGTCCAAGAAACTTAAAGAAAAGGGCATTAGTAAAGCACCACGTGATATTGCGACCGAGTTGAAAGGACACTGCCCACCATCGCCACTCATAGAAAAGTTGGAAATTGCTGGAGCTGGTTTCGTGAACGTTTTCCTTAGCAAGTGGGTAGCACAAGTACATGAATTCCATTACAAACTTTAAAAATCTTTATTTTTGCAGAGATTATGCAGCTTCAGCCTTGAGCAATCTTTTGCGCTATGGTGTCGAGCCGCCAGAAGTGAAGAAAAGGCGAGTCCTGGTTGACTTTTCATCGCCCAACATTGCCAAACAGATGCATGTCGGTCACTTGCGATCCACCATCATTGGCGAATCGTTATGCCGTCTACTGGAGTTCCTGCAGCACGATGTGATCCGCACCAACCACCTTGGTGATTGGGGAACACAGTTTGGCATGCTGATTGCCCATTTGGAAGATCGTTTCCCCAACTACCTTAATGAAAGCCCCCCAATAAGTGATCTGCAATTGTTCTACAAGGAGTCCAAGAAACGGTAAGACTTTTAACAAAACGAACTAATTACGATGTGCTCGAGGTAAATAATACTTCCCTGCAGATTCGATGAAGATGAGGAGTTCAAAAAACGTGCCTACAGTCGAGTGGTTTCATTGCAGAAAGGTGT